CTAAAATTAAAAAAAAAAGTCTTACTACCGTGTCTGGGACAGGCATCCTCGTTACATTTGCCTTCTCTGTATTCTTAGTTTGGTCTGTTTATACCAAGGAAGTCTCCCTGGCGGTCGTGGTTCATAAACCTGGTTACTAATTTGGCTTGGTTTGGCCTGGCTGGTAAACCTGGCCCGTGTTTCACAAGGCTGAATAACCAGGCAGGTATCATTCTTGCTGAATTAAGGAGTCTTGCTGTGGGGCTGCGTTGTTGTCTCTGGCTGTGTGTATTAACGGCACGGCAGGTGGGTGCGAGGCTAGTGCAGATGAGCCTAAGGAGGTGTCCACCCCGTTTGCTCCCTAATTGTATTACTGTTCAATGGAGGCCTATTACGTAAACATCTTTGACTTCCAGATGATAAAACTTTGCGAGATCGGAGAGTGAGAACTTGAAGGCGACCCACCTCCAAATAACGCTACGTTCTGCGTTTTCACTGTGCGTTCCAAAAAAATGGATGGAATTTAGGTAGTCTTCACATTTGACAGGAGCTTTCAAAAGAGACACACACACTTGAAAGCCCTTACTGTTAGTTTTCAGAGCATAAACTGGTCAGGCCCTTGAATGGGGCAGCATTTTCTGTTTAGATGCCGTGTTACAGTGAGGAACACCTTAGGTTGTTCTGGCTTCACTATTGCATCGAGCAGCTGGGAAAACTGGTGGAGAAGCTGATGAGGAATCAGTGGACCCAGTTTTAAAAGGGATGTGGAGTTTCAAGCACGGGTGCTTGGCCTTGTGGCTCTAAAATGCCCAGGGCAGAAAGAGCTAGTGGAAGCACTGGTCCGTAGGAGACTGCAGCCAGTTCCAGGGCTCTGGTGGAGAGAGAGAGAGAGAAGCCCTGCATTTGGATGGACGTTGGAGGTGGAGACACAAGGAAGTGTTTGCAGATGAGTTGTGATGATCTTTCAACCCTTCCTAAAACTTCTTGGTATTGATAAACATTTGTCAGCGTTTACTAAGGTTGAGAAGACAGTAGGGGTGAGGGGGAGCGGATTCGCTAATTGTGGGCAGCCATTCATTTCATCTGAAACCCATCCATCGTTTTTTCATGAAAAATTCAGAGCACTTCCGTAAACACTGTTGAAGAAAGGTTTGCCAGGATGGATGGAGAGGGGCACAGGAATGCATTCTCCGTGTGTTGGCATTTGTGCTGTCTTTTGTTACTCTTTCTCATGTTTAGGTAAGTCTTACCTTTTTAAAAATGATTAAGTTTATGTAAGTCCTACCTTTTAAAAAATGACTGAGTCATTAGAAACATATCTGTAATCGATGTGTTTCTATACAGCACCATCACCCACTTTTTGGTTTCCCTACTTGGTGATATTTATATTAAAAAGGACACCGTGAGACAGAAGCCACCCTATAAACAAGTTCCTTTGCTCTCATGCTGCCCTTTCTAGCAGGAAGCCAGATGCCTGCAGCTAAGAGCACTCCTCTTGTCTTGTGGCCAGCGGTGTTGGTGTGTTTCCCCCAGGCACCCCCTGAATGCTGGAATGAACACTGGACACAGTGAACACTGGAAATGAAGTCCAAAGCCGCAGGACCTAGTTCTGGCCACTCTGCATAATGGCTCTCCTACCTCCGCGGAACCTCTTTGCTTTCTTAGGCCTGAGTTTCGCATCTGCAAGTTGAGGGTTTTGAACTACAGCGCTGTCCAGGCCCCTCCCAGCTCTCAGATCCTAGGGTCTAGGGTTCTTAGTGCGCATCCTGCAAGTCACCATCGGGCTTGTTTGCCCTGGAGGTGCGGTTGCTTGTGAGTGTCTTGACTGCTTGGAGATTAGGAAGTGATTGCGGGATGAGCAACTTGCTAAAAGCAAGCCTTCAAAAGTAGCAGGTTTATAGCCGTTTTCATGGTGCCATTGAAATTTAAACTACTCTGCAAATAGGGAAAATTTAGATGATGGGGACTAATTCAGGCACTGAAGAGAGGTTGTCACATGCCTCTTAAATGTTAGTTTCTTTGACGCAGGCAGTCATTTGCATATTAACAAAGTGAAGCATCAGTCGCTAGTCAGCATGGGAGGCGACACCTTGACAGCGATACTCGGCAGACTCACTGATCCCTTTCTCCATTTTCCCCCAGGGTTTTCCAGGAAACACAAATGCAGACAGTGTGGTGCATTACAGACTCGAGCCTCCTTTTGAAGCCAGGTTCCTGCGCTTCCTCCCCTTGACGTGGAACCCCAGGGGCAGGATCGGGATGCGGGTCGAAGTGTACGGCTGTGCCTACCGTAAGTGGCGCTTATTCTCCGGCCGACGTCAGTCACGGAGCGACGCGTTGTAAACACCGCGTTGAAAACTGAACTTGACTCTTTCCAGCCTTCTAAATATTTATGGAAAGCCTTGATTATGTTATAGTTACTTTTATTACTATTTTATAGTGGAATTCGGAAATAGACCGGAACTGAGCCTTAGAATCTTAGATTCCTGTAGATTTGCTAATGTACCCGTCTTCTAGTGGGTACTTTGTAAAATTAATAAGGTTCAAGTCAGCAGTAATTGATTCTGATTGATGGTGCTGCCTTCTGACACTGAGATGACCGTCGTGTGTGGGGACGCAGGTGGATGCCGGTGTCCCCTTGTCTCCAGCACCCAGTGATGACTCACTTCTTCCTCTCCTTTTCTCTGCGCTCATTGCTGGGAAACCTTCTTTTGCATGTCATTTATGTATTAACGTCTTCCCTCTTTCCTCCACTGACGGTAACAGTTACAAAACTGGCAGCCCCCGTGAGCGTAAACCCAAGCAGAAAAGCATTCATTGAAATATATGGGAAATCAGCGCTACAGCTGCCATTTGGAAGATCCAAAATATACTGGTATTTCGTCAATTAACACAAAATGAAAACATTAATTTAAAAAGTAATCTTCCAGAAAGCTGGAGAATAACCCAAAGAGTAAGTTGGATGGGAGCATCTTGGAGTTTTTGGTCACACCTCATCTGGCCCTGATCAGGGCACTGGCTTTGCAGAAGAGTGTAACAGTAAGATTTAACATACACAAGATGTTTAATGTTTCGGATCCTGCCTCCTGAGATGTTTCTCATTCAACTCCCACACCAACCAAATGGATTCAGTATAGCTGCAACCTCACTACTTCAGAGAAGGAAGAAACTGCACCTTAGAGAAATTAAGATGTTTGCTGGAGCTGTTACATATTGGATCTAGGATTTAAAAGCTGTCTTTCCCCCCTAATTTTGTTCTCATAAATATCATGCTGTCCAGGCGTTCGTTTCTTTATTCCCTCACTTGTTGTGTAAGAATTTATCAGACACTTGATGTCTGCAGAGAACTGTACTGAATGTGGGGGACACTTCTAAAATTATTTATTTTCTTTGTCGGGATTTTATGAGAAGTCATGAAGTTGTACAAAACAATTGTAAAATATTGCAGCAGGAATATGGGGCATGGGGGATAGAGTGGTCAGTCCGTGGCGTTAGAAAAGGAACCTTTCTGGCAGTCAGTTTTCAAAGTAAAGGGGCTGGGTAGTGAGACAGGAGGTAGGGGGGTGTTCATAGGAGGAAACAGCACATGTAAATTGTGGGAGCAGGAATTTAGGGTTCTGATGGTGCAGGGATGCGGGACGGCAGGGGCACTGTGGGGCGCAATGAGTTGTTGAATAGCAATAATACCATTTCCACTTCGGTAACCCCACAGATAGTGGGTGGTTGTGGAGGTGAGGCTCACCCAGGCAGCCCATCCCACACTCAAGGGTCACCTTCAGCCTCAGTTTCATTCCTCTTCCTAATGACACGTTCCACTTCCGCTTCGCCTCCTAACCCTGCCTCTGCTCTCTGTTGGTTATAGTTCCAAGGAACGTTTACCATCCGTGGTGTTGCACGGCCATCAACTTTTCCCCCTCTTTCCCTTGGTCATTTCCTTCCATCCTTTTGTTTCTGGGGTCCCTAAGTGTGCTCACGGCTGCAGTGGCTAGGATGTCTGCCACTTAGAGTTTCTCTTTGATCCCCTGAAATTAGCTTCCCCTTCTCCCATTACTCTGGAATCAACGTCAGGTTTACTGACTTCAAAGTGGAACGTGCTCTTTGATGGGGATTTGCCGTGAGCTTGAAGTTCCTCGTGAGGAGGTATTACTCCGGTTTCCTGGGTTAGAGGTCGGTACTAGGAGGATCAAAGCCGCTTGCCTGATCCCCGGAAGGGCCAGTGGGCCGTGCGGCTGTCGTGGAATCTGAGTGTGTCCTCAATTCAGCAAACCTGAACTCTGGGGGCACAAGGGGCTCTTAGCATAAGAATGCAAACAGAAAATAATCACCACTGTTTTTAAGATACAAAATGCATTCCTTAATAGCAGTGGCTGTGTTTTCTTCATTTTTATTAGTAATCTTTATTCAAGAATAGCACCTTGCGTTTTTATTTTTGACAGTAATTTAATACGATACGGTTTAGAGCCTAAAGTGATCATTATTATCTTTTTTTTTATTTGTATTTCCACTGCTCTGTTGATCGTGAGACAATGTCCACGTTGCTCATCTCGGCATGTCACAGTCTCTCAGATGCAACTCCTCCTTTCAGCTTCGTATTTTTACATTCCATTTACAATGATCTTTATTATTCCTGTCAACATGGTGCATTTTCATGGCTCCCTGGCTTGGCATATACATTTTCCCTCCCTAAAAAGCCCTTCCTCCATTTCTAGAGTAGAAGTGAGTGCTTGGGGTCTTCTTAGAGTCCCGGCTGTCCTGCACACCAGGGTCAGGGGTCTGCCCTGAGACCCCTCACTTTCTCTGGCCTTCCCTCGCTCTACCAGTCCCATCCATCCAGTGTCAGCATCCCCTACTGACGTGGTCTAGGCTCCGTATTCCAGTCTAAAAAGGTCTCTCTTTGAGTTTTCATCCACTTTCTTAAGTTTGCAACATTTACATACTGCCCGATCAGTTCCAAATTGACATCCTGACACAGGTCCCTAAAGTCCCAGCCATCTGGATGGTTGTCCCCAGATCCACCCTCATTTCTTTGATGAGGTTGTTATTCATCTTTTAGGTCCCTTCTGTCTCTTTTGTGCCACTTACTCTGACTCCCCACGTTCATGCTCAGTTCTCTAGTGTTCCCATGCCATATTGTGTTGTATTGGCCCTGCTGTTGTAATTTTATGTTTATTGTTGTGTTTATTGTTTGAATAAGAGAAGGAAAGAAGGAGAGTAAAAAAGAAGGGAAGGGGTGTGAGTTACTAGGAACATGGAATAGAGAGGCTCACAATGGTGAGCCCCATGGCATCTACCAGTCATCCATGTGGCCCGCCAGTCCTGTGTCAAATCAGGCACTGAAAATAAAATGGATTAAGAAAGAAGAAAAGAAGGGAATAGAACATGGAACTGTCTATTTTACTATCTTGTATTTATTAAAAAATACATTGACTTGCAGTGGAAAAAATGTAGATTTTATGTAGCAGTCTTAACGTGTCAATATTTATAGATTTATAAATCTGTTGTTAACACTCATTAAACACAAAGAGTGTGTATTTTGAAACATTTAAGGAGAATATTGAGAGAAGAGTCTGCATATGGAACTTCCTTCTGTTCAGTACTGGTTCTACTCTAAGTAGATCTCAGTTTAGAAAATGCAGTAGTAAAAACAGAAGAATGGAGGATGAAAATGGACGTAGTCACCTTGATGAAGAAAAATCCTGAAAGTTGATAATGATCTTTAGTCAATATGAGAGAACGCTGATCCGTATTATCCATTCCAGTTATTGATAAAGCAGAAAATAGTCAAACTAGATTAGAAAAAGTGTTAGTTTAATTCAATACATGTCTACACAACTTTGACCCCCAGCAAGGCACCCTGCTGAGTATGAACAAGGCACAGTGCCCCCCATGTGCTAAGGAGCCAGTACAGGTGAGGGGAAATGTGTATTCTTTGCAAACCAACTAAATCTGAGCATGGGTTTCTTCTGATTTATGTCCAAGTATAAATAGAAGACAAATTTTGACCTAAGGGTGAAATAAACTTCTCTAAACTTTAATACTGTAGCCTTATGCTTTTTATCTGATACTAAGTTAAAAAAATACTAAAATACTAAAAAAAATACTAAAAATACTTAAGTTAAAATAATATTGATCCTACGATCATATGAAACAGAACAGCCTCTCATATTTCTGTGAAGACATTTGTTTAATGCTATTTTAATGTAATTTAATTTCTATTCAAGTTATTACACAATTTATTCCTGATTTATTTTTAATCACCTCGCAAATTATCACATCTAAAGGAGTACAGCTCAGGCTTTTGCTGAAAGAAAATGCTGAAAGGCACATCAATACACAGCTGATAAAGTGCAGCAAAACAAGCAAATTTGGGTTATGTTATAATAACTAGATTAATTTGAAGGAATAATAACTTCCATGCATTTAAAACATTACAGTTTGTTACCAGAATTTTAAACCTGACATGACCTGTGATGTTGGAAAAACCGTAGAATTGGACAAAAGGACCAGTTATTAAGAAAACAGGATTGATCTCTTATTAGTAACATTGCTTGCTCACAGGTACCTAGAACTTAATGAGTCTCGGATTGCTTTCTAAACTTACTGTTCTTCTAGTTTTCCTTGTCTTGGTTAATTCACCAGGAACTTACACCAGAGACATGGGAGTCACCTTTGACACATCTCTATCCCTACACATCTAGAGAATATCATATTCTGAACACGCACTCTCCAAATGGTACCCTCAGTCATCTCAAATTGTTCAAACCTCTCGCTCTCTCATGTCACCCACAAAATGCAAACCTAGACTTGCCAACAAACTGTCTTCTTTGCACAAGCGATTTACCTGGCTTGAAATGCTTCTGCCCGAGTCTGTCACCTGTCTGTCTATATGCCCTCATGCAGGTCTCCGCTTTAAAGTCTCCTCCTTGGAGATGTATTTCCTGACTGCTGGTCTAAATTAGGTCCCTCCAAATTCCTCTAAACTTGTTAAGCGGCTGGCTGGTCAGCCTGTCAGCGCTTTTCCCCAGCCAGCATGGCACTCTCAGGCTGGCTGCCATGTGGCCCTTCCCACGTTGCTTGTCGCTAGATAGCTCTTGTTACCATTGCTCCGTGGGGCGGAGTCTTCCGTGTGCTCAGCCCCCCAGCCCTGATAGAAGTTCAGTGCCAAGGGGCTGGGGGTCGAGCCGCCTCTGGCTCAAAGAGCACAGATTCCCACTGTTCTTATTGAGATTCAGTAGATTCTCCTGACTCCATACTTCTACTTTGATTGTGTGTCTGTAGTCAGTTTCCAGT